TTCCCTGGCTAACCCTTGGGCAGCAGCAAAGGGAGACGGGAAACTCCAATCTCCTGCTGCCATTTAGCACACTACAATCATTCGCCCTACATGTTACATTTGATTCTAATAGGAAGGAATGTGGGATTGCCAATAGGATAGCTCTTTGGTTTTGATCTCTCACACAAGACACAATCCTTTCCATCAATTACAACCTCCGTGGCAGCACTTCCAGTCAATCTCATGGGGAAAAATGTTTCAAAGGAGATGACAATAAAATGAATGAAATGGACAAGAGGAAACTGACAAAAGGGTAAGGGAGATTCTTTGGCAGAGCGGCTGGCACTTGGTGACAGAGGAGGAAGAGATAGTGAGGGCTGAACTTTATATGCTAGTGACTTGTTCCACTGTTGGCCCGAGTGGCAAAGACCCTAACAAACTGGAAGAGTTTTTCTGCTTTTTGGAAATGTAGGCTGCCAAGCAAAGCCATTGATCCCTGGACCTGGCAAACCTCCAGAATTGAGCCTATAGGAAATGAGAGGGGAGATTCTCTCTCTCAATTCTAGCTTGAGTTGCCTTGAAAAGTTCAGACCAGCTGAATAAACATTCTGCACTTTTCTGCTCTTTCCAACGTTGTCCCTGCCTGACTTCTATCTCCACTCCTTCCCCCTTCCTCATATTTTTTTTAGACTGATGTTTGATGCAAGACTGGTATCAATTTGGAAAAGGGACAACTTGGAAGTTCTCAGCATGGGCAACTTCCTTTCCCACCAGGTTTCAGTACAGTTTCTGTGAATTGATTCACTTTTAGCAGGAGTCCCAGACAGGTGGAAGAAGAAAAATTGGCGGGCATCCTGCTAGTCCACTGAGATTGTGCCTCCAGCTGCAGTAGCATATTGAGAACTCAATAGAGGACTAAGAGTTCATAAGAAATAAAATACACTAAGATATTGACAGAGATATGGCATCTCTTTTATTTAAAATTATACAGAAACAATACATTGGAGACAAAAAAACCAAAACCTATCAATGAAGCTGCAGAAGTACATCTGTGTTTAAGATGGGGGGGGGAAGCCAAGAAGAAAGGAAAGTAACCCTCTTATTCAATATAATGACGAGATGAATTCACTGCAATTCATTACTGTAAGTCAGATATATTATCTAACTGAATCTAAAATTTGCTTTATATATTTTGAAATTGCATATTTTTATTTAAGAGGGGCAGGAAATGTGATAAGTATAACTTGGACCATTCTACACAGAAAACACTCGTGCAAAGATTACTCACTATCCTGGACATTCCTATTGTCCTGGAATTACAAGATGCTAGAGACATTCTCCTCTGGAGGGGGGGTGAGGGGAGGAGGCTGTTCTAGAAATCATTAGTTTCCCAGTGGCAGAAAACTCTGCCAGTGGGGCTGCCCTTCAACTTGGAAATGAAGGACTCAAGGTGGATGAGCTCTAGCCAACTCAATCTTTAGATCTACCAGATCCCATGTTTGGTCCTCAAACATGAACTCAAAATGAGAGAGAGAGACAGACAGACAGA